AGAGCGTGCAATGATAGAAACCTAGTGAGTTTCACACCTACAGACAATTATTCACAGGTATCTATCATTGCACGCTCAACGGCCGTCTCGCTTCGGGCAAAGGCACGGCTACCTTTCAAGATGGCGCAGGTATCCGTGAAGGAGACTATTCCTGAAAATATATTGTTGTTGTTTTCAGACAGTCTTTTTTCTTATAGCCTGATTAAAGATGGGTTTTGGTCCCACCAATGCATACCTGGCTGGCTAATGTCTTACAATTTATGATTTTATTTTTTTCACATGTTCATTTTATATGACTTTTCTTTTAAATTGGAGATTTCAAAACCTGAATTTTTTCAGGCCATATATGCATTTCCATCTTATGACAATTTTTTATTTTTTGTAATACTGGATAAATTTTCTAGGAATTACTGTATATTGTTTGTTTGTATATATTACTCCTCATTCCCAATTCATGAATATTTTATTAATTGTACTACCATCAAATAAAACATCACAAAGATTTCACACAGGTATATTTTTCTTCTTGTTTGAGTGAAAATACAGTTATACRACAGATAAAACATACTACCATTTTACATTCTACTATGGCCTACAATATATGGACATTAGCACAAAACGACAAAATACCACCAAAGAACAGTATGTCATGTATAGTAAAGAACATTTCTAAAAATAAAGTTTTCCTTTGTCTTTGAATTCATACAAGAGTGCTGATATTATATCCATGAAATAACACCTACATAGATATTTCATGGAATTAATATAAGTACTCCAAAGTATATATAGTAACTTGCTGCTAATGAGCCAGTGAAAGATATATTTATATACAAGTCTTGTGTCAACAAAAATATTGACAGCATGAAATTTAATGCAGTTTCTGTAGATAATTGCTAGTTTGATGGCACTTGGAAGAACAGTGTTCTCTTTACAGTTCAGAATAATTTTCTATAAGTGTGCAAGATGTTATATAAAGCAAGCTCACTGTTTGTCTGTAGAGCTCTAGTCATGTGCAACTAAAAGTAACTAAGCTGTCTACAATAAAGCCATTTTTCAGTCAAAAACAAAATGAAAGCAGCAGTAAAGAGCATAAAGTTGTGCAACTCAATGACTAAAATAAAAAAGTAACTTCATCATAAAACGCAGTAAAAATAAACAGCACAGCAATACTTCATGCTCCATACAATAACCACTTGTATGTTCACTATGTTTATGAGAGCTTTTCACTAAAACAGGCATGAAGAATCATGAAGAAACGCTAATAATCAGAAACATTTCACCAGACAAGTTACTGTTTAGTGCCATCACACCACCAATGTCTATTYAATATATAATATACGATTTATATTAAAGGCAATAGCRCAGGTCAAMACACATGCCAGTCAGAATAACTGTGGCATGTGTCGACCTGTATCACAATTATTATTATCTTGCCCATTAAGACTACCAGCCACATTTACAAGAACAAGTTGAACTAGAAAATCCTGAATCTCACTACTTAWTATGTTAAATAATTACTTGATGTTCATGTAAATATGGTTGGAGAATTCTAGTCAACAACAATGCATTGATTTTAATTCAAAATGTACCCTTATTTGCAGAAGAATACCAGCATCTATTGGTTAAATCTATTATTGAAAGCTTATGTTATCTGTACTAATCCTAATGATTACGGTGTTAAAAAGGACAAGCAGAAAGAAATGCTTACTGGAAGTATTATCTAACAAACATGACTGGACAATAAAGTAAACAATGTATTTTTAGCATGCTTAGAGCAAAAAGCAATGCAGTCAACTAGGATTCTAAAATAAGTTCATAAAATCTTTAAAAAAAGGCGATTTGTATATTGGAAAATAGAAGTCTGATCATAATCAATCTCATATTGTAGGTCTTCCAGTTTGATGAAGTATTTACAGCATTCAAGAGAATTCACAGGGGTTACATGACACACAAACACCTTTTGCTCATTACAGTAATATGTATAATATTATCATCTATATTGTTATTTAATAAAACACTAGTGCAAACATGCCATCTCTATAAATACTAGAGTATTGTTCAAGCTTAAACAGTCTTAAGCCTGGTTCACACAACCAATGCAAGCGCAAAACCAAATGCATAAACAAGAAATGAAACTTCTATATTTTCTTGTATTTGTGTTTGCATTTTCAATGTACTGTACATTTGTGCTTGCATTGCTCATGTAAACCTGGCTTTAAAGCTCTATATGTGTCACTCTTAAGTCCCTTAGGAATGGGCWTTGTTGAAATCTAAAGCACATTAGCTAGTAAGAAATTAGGTTAATAGATTACATTGATAAAAAAGATGCAGTTTGAATCACATTGATGTTTACATAGATATTGGTGACTGCATTGAAGGAGGACCACCACACATCAGTGCATTTCAATTGCATACTGACATTGTTTTTTGTCCTAAAACAGATTAGAACAATGTAAAAATACTGCCTGGTTGCACATCGTTGGAGGTGGTATGATTCTGATCAGTTTTYAGAACATTGCATGAAGTGAATTGGACAGTTTGCAAGGTTGCAGGAATGCCAAAAACTGCATAGTGTTATCATGGGTAAAACGGGTATTGATTTGGTCCACCAGTCGTAGTACTTGGTACCTGTCCATATCGACTTGTCTGTGATGTATTAGGTGAGTTATTTGCCATACCAGTGTTACCATCCATCTGCCGTCCCATCATAGCTGGCCACATCCCTTGTGGTACTCCACTTCTCATGTTTTCTGACAAAAGTTGCGAGTATGCACCTTTTTGAGCCATCTGACTCATATCCTGACTGTCCCCTTTTCTCATTCCACTACCATACATGGCACCACTAGACCCCATGTCAGGAATTCCAGACGCTGCTGATTGCCCTCTAATAGCGTCAACAGGTGACATTGGACTTACACCTTGTGGAGACATCATTCTACTCATCCCAGGTGGCACCATGCCCATTCCTCCATTGACTTGGGACATCATTTGATTGTAAAGTGCCGCCTGAGGTAAGGCTGAGGAAGGTAACCCTGTGGCTGCTGCCATAGCCTGCCGTCTTTGCACTAATGCTGCAAGAAGACTTCCTGCTTGACCAGTAGAGAACTCTAATGACTTATCCAAATCTGATTAAAAATACAAATAATGTTAAACATAGATGCATTGTTGCATAACCATTACCCAATCAAAATAGTTCTGATACAACTGGCTCTTTAATTTTCAAGAACACAATGGCATTGTTTATGTTTGTTTCTTTTGAACAATGATTATTGTTCAATTCTGTGCTGCCATCTTGGTCTATGATGGCTGCAGTTCTTGTGGATTCCTTGATGTGATAATACATTGCATGCTTGTTAACTTAATGATCAGATAATGATAGTAAGGATGATGATTTTATAAAGCATTATTTTTTTACCAGTTGTYTGTTTGGATGCTTCAGATCCTGGTGCAAGGACTCCTGCACCATTTTGTCCCATAGCATCTTGTGAGACACCAGCRCGGGCCATCCCTGGGTCTTTATAGTTGCTTTGATTGGGTGAAATGTCTTTAGTTGATTGGTTTATGCCTCTTTTTTCACTCAGTTCTCCTGCCTGAAGAGATTATCGCAGTTAAACATTATTTGCAACAGTTGTGCTGTAATACTGTCAAGTTCTAAAGAATACATTTTCATAAACACAAACTGCTATTGTTTATTAATCATGAATTACCTTTGCAAGTGCATCTAGACCACTTTCTGGAATACCACTTTGACCTAACAACAAGTAGATACATTGTCAGTGATTAAGAAACTGTGTCTAAGAAGCCGTGTCAGACAAAATGTTAAACARAAACAACCATTTTTACCCTTACTTTGACCAGGAAAATGAAAGATAGTTTCATCTCCCATCATCACTTGCTTTGCATTGCGTTGTTGCTGCTGCAGAGCTTGAAGAATTTGCTGCTGTTGTTGCATTTCAGGACCAGTAAGAGCACTAGCTGGTGAAACTTGAGAATAGTCAGAACTACTGCTGCTGTATGGACCACTGCTTCCTCTTGATGGCATACCAGAACCAGCCATTATTTGTGGTAGTGAAGTGTCGATTTGGAAGCTAATTTAAGGAGATAAACATTAGATGAATCTTATAGTAAATAGTACTCAAAAATCATAGTATTGATTCATAATAGAGATCTTAAGCATGACGTCCACGGCAAACGGCGAATGGCAGAAAAGATTGTGTGACCTGCCTTTTGAGGATTTACCGTTACAGTTTAGGCGCAAGAGTGGGTTATTTTGGGATTGCTAAAATCGTGAAAAGTCGCTCTTTCAAATGACTAAAAAAACAAGATCATGATTCAATCAAAAAACATGATAAAATGTAATCAACATACTTGTTAACTGTGGTGTTTGTGCATACAATGTACTCAGCTTCATCGGTGTAAGGGTTCTGGAAGCTAAAACAACTTGTTCTTATCCAAACCCAGTCACCACCCTTACTTCTGAACCGATAACGTACAGATAGTGTTTGTCCTTTTAACTTTATCACTGCAAAACAATACACATAAATATCAATCATTAACAAATCAATGTGACATCAAAACAGTTTACACATAATGAGGCTTGAATATGTCTTTATTTCTCCTAGAATAACCTTCTTAGCAATATAATATTCTAATTACCGCAACCTAACGTCTATTTCACCCTGACCTGATCCCAGTCTGCCTTGTAACTCACTGGTAGAGCATCGGTAGTACAAATCTGAGGGTTGTGGGTTCAAATCCCAGTGAAGTCAGAAATTATTTTTTCTGAATTTATCTGCAAGGGTCTTACCCTCCTTCCTAGCACTATAACTTTCCTATATTTCAATATCATATCTCATAGTGCTATGTGCTCTTTACAATCATATCTTTACATTTATGTCTTTATTCACCTTGTTCATAACTTTCTGTCATATGTTTTAAATCTTCAGGATGAAAGAAGTCAAAACAGAGTTGTCCTAATAGCTCTTGAGGTTGGTATCCAAGAACATCAGTCACCCTATAAGAATAGATACAATATTATATGACAGACAACAACTCTGTCTGTATAAAATACTAAGCTTTGTAAGAAAGTCAAACATTTTCATAAAGAAACATTTCAGATCTGTGACTCAATTTGACACACATGTTGTCATGTTCATATAGTATACCATTCATTTATTTATTTATTCCCATTCATTTATTTATTTATTCCCATTCATTTATTTATTTATTCCCATTCATTCATGTATTCCCATTCATTCCTTTATTTATTCCCATTCAYTTATTTATTTATTCCCTTGATCATATATCTATCCACATGTTCATCCTTCTATCAAAGTAAGTACCTCTGATCCACAAATGTAAACTTGCCGTCAAGGCTGTGTCGTGATATAAACTCAGTTATTGTGGGAGTATCAACCAGGTCACTACTTTGTGGTGCACTAGCAGGCTGTAGTCGGCCGATTGTAACCAGCGAAGTTGTGTTATTATCTTCTCCGCCATAACTTGCTGTCCCATTGTTACCCGTCCAGTTCTAATGTCAAGATGATTGTAATTGTTCAATAATAATACTACTCTCATCTGAGCTCTTAATCGCATTATATCTCTAGCATTGCATATATATCTCTAACATTGCATTATATCTCTAGCATTGCATTATATCTCTAGCATTGCATATATATATATCTCTAGCATTGCATTATATCTCTAGCATTGCATTATATCTCTAGCATTGCATATATATCTCTAGCATTGCATATATATATCTCTAGCATTGCATATACAGCCTTTTGCAAAAATTATGAGAATTGTCTAAATATCTAAATATCATAATATCCATATCCATATATTGTCCGGAACGCGCGGGTTTGCTAGAATAATTCATTGTTGACATCGAGAAAATGTTCAGAACTATGGATAAGTCTGTCGCCAAAAAAACTAAACTACAAAGACAAGGGACTAAGGTCATCGCGCGGGATTACCCATCATGCACTCGATATTATGATATTTAGATATTTCAACAATTCTCATAATTTTTGCAAAAGGCTGTATATATATCTAGCATTGCATATATATATCTCTAGAGGATAATGATGGATATGGTAATAGAAATAGGAACAGCACTTGAGTAGAGTTTTTTTTGAACAAAATGAAATGCAGAACATGAGCTT